GAAAGATATGAGCAAAACAAAATGGCAAATAAGTCACAAAAGAATGCCGTAAAATGCAATAAAACTAGTTAAACGCGTTGGATTGTGATGCGCTAACTTCTTGCTGTTACCCGTAGTGTAGCTTTTGGCTAAACCTGTATTGCATATGAATGTAAAACAAAAAAAAAAACTTGTGCATAGCTTGAAAACGACTGTATATGGACGTTCGTAATAAATAAATAATATTATCTAAGTAATGCAGAAAACTAAAATTATTCCTATACAGTAGCTCAATAATGAAGTTTAACAATGCACGGTATATGTATATATATAAGTGGATATCTAACTATATATGTACGCATTCTTCGTATTCTCGTAGTGTATTAATTCCTAATTTGAGACTCTGTCCTAAGCATGTCGTATTTGTGACGGAGTGGATGGTTTTCGGTAGGCCCTCTTTCTTGGATCACGTCTTTATAGACTTCATCAATGCCTTTGTCAAACGGTTATCAAAGAATACTTTTTATAGAAAGTATAAACTAATAAAATTAGCCCTTTTCAAGGGGCTGGTTAAGAACGGCAATGCAAGGGACCTGGAGAGGATGAAAGATTTTGAAGTTTGTCACCTAAGGAAGGCCAAAACCACCCTAGTGCAACTCCGAACTTTGTATGGAAGAAAAAGCGTGATACCGTCAGCAAAAAAAATTATCAAAAGTAAACGCGATTCTTTAGCAACTTCAAACGTGCACTACTAAAATTTATTAAGCTATAAAAAACTGCATACCAAAAATTATTCTAGAAATTTAAATTAAAATGCTTGAAATTGAGATGAAAAGCTTGTGGAATTTTTATAATTTTTATAAATAAAAAGCTATACTTTTATATAGAAATAATGAACATGAAACAAACAAAAGATAAAAAGTCAAAACTGTTCAAAATGTCGAGGTGCTATCGTTTTGTCGCGGGCTGTACATATCGTCACTTGAAATGGAAAAAGTCGTGACTAATAATTTTTTTTGCATAAGGGGGATACCACCGTCACGGGTGGTACATTTGTGCAAAAAAAAGGTTATTTTTTGTTTAAATTTAAGTATAAAGTACTCAACAATTCTACATTTTGATAAAGCTACACCTAATTGACTATTTTATGAGTTATTACGAAATACGAAAAAAATTCCAGCTTTTTGCAGCTAATATATTTTACGGAAACTCGGCGAATGTATTTCACTTTTCTGTGTGAACTTGATGTCTTATAATAAAACAAGGAACCACGAATACAATCAAAGCAAAAACTACAACAAAAATTATGGTTTTATTATAAAAAAAATACGAAATTCCTTTGTTACGTGTCGGACAACGTTTGTCACGGGTGGGACAAGTACGAATTTTTATATGAAAAGGAGCTTTTAGTGTGGTCCATATTAACGATTAGTTATTAAAAAATATGAGAAGCCAAGTGGGGGTTCAATTCACACTCGCTTTATCTTAGGATTGTGCCTTGTATATAGAAAAAAATGCTTAATAACGTCTGCCAAAAAAATTATTAAAAATCAAGGCGATTTCCCAGCGTCTTGAAATTTTCACTTTTACCTACTTAAATTTAATGGGCTATAAAACTGCATACCTAGAATTTTTCTAAAAGGTCTGAACAAAAATTTTAAAATTTTTCGGTGTACTTTGTTGAGTTTTTATAATTTTTGTACGAAGTTTGAAATGTTGATTTATGTAGTTTTGGTTATGTAATGTGCTAGAATAGAAAAAACTATGAACATTAAATAAACAAAAGAAAAAAACAAAACTGGTCAAAATGTCAAATGTCGCATGGAACCTCTCATAAAACGATGTGGGGATTTGTAATTCGATGAAATCCGTCATATCAATCAAAAAGTGAATTTTGAATTTTTTATTAGTTACGACTTTTTGAAATTTAGCGACGTTTTTTACGTTTTTTTTCATTTCAAGTGACAATATGTTCCGTGAGTGGTATTCTTGCTAAATGTTGGCAAAAGCTGCCAATCGCGCATTAACGGTTTGCAAGTTTATTAGGCCTTGTCTAATTTCTTTTTTTTGCTGAAGACTCTTAAAAGTGCGGATAGACTCGCACATCAAGCTAAGTGTAGAGGGAAGCAATGCAATGTGTTGTACTTGTCAAACTCTTTCATTTGATGCCCATATTGAGGAGATTGAAAAAAGTTATATTACTACGGGTGAGACATAGTGGGTTCAAAATGTTCCAAAAAATATGAGCCCCAAAATTGTATTATAGAGTCGATAATTTAGACACTTAAAGACAACAATACAATTCACTATGTAGACCGTGTCGGTCCTGGTAGAGAGGAAACGATTCTGACACATCAGGAGCAGGAAGACGGGGTTCTGAACCTATTGGCCGACGAACTGTAACTTCTCCCTGTCTGTTGTTGTTGTAACAGCACACAATTTCTCCATAGTTTTTGGGGAGTTAAATCGTCGCTCCAATTACGTAGACCCGACTGTCGTGGGAACGTCTTCCTGTCGGTCTCCCCATCAGTCTGCATGTCTTACACTTAATTTGTGATTTCTTTAAAGGTTTATTTTATCACGTTTTAGATTTGTTAGTGTCAAACTCCCAACTTTTCGATTACTGACTGCTAAACAATTAAATATTACTTTATTAGTAACAATCGCATACGAAATAAAAATGCCGAAATATTTGCTAAACCTCCGCGGCGCCCACTGTACTTAAGCTCTTTAAACAAGCTTCAATTAGCATATTTTATAAACAAAACTCGTTTACTAATTTCGGCAACCAAATGTAAATATGTATGTTCGTATATATTTCTGTTTCTTAGCCTGTTGCTACGTTCGTTTACCTTTGCTGGCCGCTGCTGCTGCTGCTGCTGATTGTGGTGGCACTCGACACTGGCGTTGTTGGCATACCGCCAGTCGCCACCGACTCTGAATTGATCGTCAATGTGTTTGGCGTTGTTGTTGCTGTCGTCGCCGCTGTTGTCGTTGCTGCGCAGTCCATTTCGGCGTTTACGCACCTCGTCGAGGTCACTGTATTATTATCGAAACTCTTATTCTCATTTGCATGAGTTGGGGAATTATTGCATGATATTGAGGTAGATAACAGTGTTGTTTTGCCAATTGTTTTTGTTGGTGTTGCTCTTGTTGTACACGAAGCCTCTGCACTCGTTGCGGCTGTTGCATTCACTGACCCAGTTTTGGCAACAAAAGTTGCATTAGTCGTCGTCGTCGTCGTCGTCGTCGTATCAATCGTATCAGCATTGTGATTATGATTTCTTAAAGCTGGGGGTCGATAGAGATCTATTGAGTTCGTTTTGCTTGCTGGAAAGTACAAGAAAAAAATAATGCTTGATTTAATAAAATATAAATAAAAATATGTGATTTATAAAAACCAAAATTAATACATAAGTACAAAATTTCGCGTAACATGTTTGTCTTAAAGAACAATTAATATCTACATAGTAAGCCAAAGGAAGATCAGTTATTTGAGGCACATGAAAATACTTCAAAACCACTTTTCCGCCATTACCATTTCACACAATATGCCGATTTAAAACCGGCAGCTCGCGCTCATAGATACAAAAGATATTTTGAGCTTGCACAAAACAATGATGATATTAATTTTTCTACATAAATTACCTAAAATAAGTAAGTGCTATTTTTTTTTTTGTGAAAATCAGGGACCGAGAACAAAAAGTATTATCGAAACTAAATGTCGCTCTCGTAGTTTTGTTCCCAACAACGCTTAAAAACCCGAACCGGAATGAGAACAAAATCTTCGGAAATGTTTTCACAAGAACGAAAGTGAGAACAATACTGTCGAGAACATTTTCAACGGGAACTATATAAGAACGAAACCCTATGGAACAAAACGGTAATAAAAGTCTAAGGAACTTTCTCTCGAACAACCATTTGGGAACTAAAGGGTCAGGAACTCTCCGACAGAGAACGGAACGGGAACAAATCTTCTCTGAACTATTCGCGAAGAATGGAAGCGAAAGCAAAATATTTCTCCTAGCGTTCCATTAGTTTGAATATTAAAATAAATCAAAAGAGAACTGAAAGATAATCAGGCAGATTCTGCAATTCACTTACGAGTGAATTTCAAACATAGTCACTTTGAATTCAAATTAACTGTGGTTGAAATTAACTCGGAACTGGATCGAAGAACCTGCCTGAATTATGCAAATTAACTCAACGAAAGACATAAGACACGAACTTTTCCTGCACAGAAAATAAAAAATTATTTCTTAAATGGACAGATGATCCAGCTGTCCTTCGGCTCTTTAGGTAAACGTCGTTTAGAGTCGTTTGTCCTACTTCCTAAGCATTTCTTTAAAGGTGTGGTGACCCATCGCAAAGAATACAACGGACGTAAACCTAAAGTTGGAAGGTTCATCTCGAAACCCACGCAACTGTTCCATACGTTGTAGTCAAACTCATGTAACTCCCATCTGAGTATACTTAGACGCCAGCCAGACGTTTGCCCACTATCAGTGTCGTTGTTATTGTTGTAGCGGCTACTCAGCACTGCCTATGCATGCGTACGAACTTTTGTTCTGACGACTTCGTCTTATCAAAAAAGATACTTGTTTGTTTGTTTGTTTCATATTTTTTTGTTTCGAAAAAATAGTCAAAGCAAAATTTCGTCAGAATACGAATGCATAGTAATCGTAGCCTAAATCGTTGTCGTCAAGCTTAGCTAATTGGAGACTCAGGAAGTATGCAACTCCTCCTCCTCCTCGCTTAGTCCATAGCGACAAGGTTGTTAGTTGAGTGGGGATTAGGAAGCAGGCGAAGAGATGTCGCGAGTAGTGGGGTGACTCTCCGCATGCCCAACACTCGTTGGGCACATCTGCATTTATTCTGCTCAAGTTTAGCCTACTGCAGTAGCCGAGCGAAGTTGGGCTATGGTGGTGCGAGTCTTCCGAGGCAGACGAAGCTCTGTCTCGTCCACGTCAGGTCGGGAGTCGCTGTAAGTCGAGACTGACTCCTGGTGGATGCCGTTTATGGCCTGTCGGTATGCTGTCGGGTCAAGAGGTTGTTTTATGAAATCTGGACTTAGTCCGTTAGTTCGTAGATGCTTTCAGATGTGCCTTGGCGTGGACTCTGCTGCAAGCTGGTAACTCTTCGGGTGTCCGCGCCTGTGGCATCCATTAAGAACTGCTTAGAGACCAACGTGTTGTGCTCCTTCGCAAGGGAGCATTTGAGTCCCGTCGTGTGGGTGGTGCTGTGGCGACATCAGAAGGCATCCAGTTGCGGTCCGGAGTACCGTGTTGTCACTTCGTCCACTGCGTCCTGCTAGTCCCCGGCGACCACACGGCTGCTGCATAGTTTAGGACCCGGCCGGCCAATTGCCTTGTATTTTGTCTTTGCCCCAGGTGCTGTCGACTAGCGCATTGAGGTCCTGGTTGCGGCCCTCAACTCTATCGATAATTTCGGTTGTATGCGCCGAGAAACAGAACAGACTGTCGAAGGTAAATACCAAGTTTATTCGCCGTCGGAATTGGTTCGCCATCAACGTGAATTCCTTGTAGTCTGACCTCCTTCGTCCAGGTGGTAAAAAGGGTTGCCGAGGATTTCGTGGGGGAGAGGGTTAGGCTCCGTGCTGCGAAGAAGCGAGATAGTTCGAAGAGGTAAACGTTTACTTTCAAGCACAAGTCATCAATTATTTTCTACGACGCCATTATCGAAAAGTCCAGACATCTGGAACGATGAGAGGGGCTATGGACAAATTGACACCTTGATTAGATAATCTCCTCACGTCCCGCAGGTCCATTTTTTTCAGCATCAGCTTGCATATTCCGTCGGGGCAAATCGCTGTTACTCATCGGTGAATCGTGTTACATCAGTTATATAGTTTCGCAGAAGCTTCGGAAGATGTAATTGGCTGGAACCAGTAAGAGGCCGTAGATTTCCTATGTTCCTAGGACACATTTCAAAGACTTGGATATTTTTGGTTGCAGCATAGTATGCAGTGCATACACATTAGGGCTACAAATTGGTTTCACTTCTAACTTAGAAGTTCTAAGGTATGAGAAGGGACGTAATATACTGGTATGGCATCACAATGGGCCCACAGTGGCCTAAGTGTGCTGGATGGGGACAGCCAAGATAACCTAACCTAACCTAAGATACTGGTATGGCATCACAATGGGCCCACAGTGGCAAGTGTGCTGGATGGGGACAGCCAAGATAACCTAACCTAACCTAACCCACTATTATGTACATTAGACTGAATTACTCCCCATACAAAAAAATTGGTACTGTTTTTCCATAGGACATATAAAATCTATTATTTTTTAAGACTTGCACCAAAATATTTCGGAAAAATATTAAGATTTACGTGAAAAAACTCCAAAATTATATTTTTTCATGAATAAAAATAGTTTTTTTTTTTTAAGAATTTTTTGAAAAAACTCACCTCTGACGACAAAACAGTTTAAGCTTAAAAAATTTGCATAATAATAAAAAAAAAATTCAACGGAATCATAATAATGATTTTTAATTTGATGCTGTTGTTGAACTTTTTCAAAGATTAGCTTAAGAAAAATTTGAATAACTTAGCCACAACTTTACCGATTTAGATTTATGAGGTATCATCAGAAAGGTATTTTACCCCCTTTTTGTTTGTTTCCTTTGTAAATAAACTCATTCAAAGTATGAAAGAGAAAGGTAAAATGAATGAGCATAATTTCAAGTTGAATAAAGATGTGTTGATATGAAAAAAAAAATATTGGAACGTGAATGAGCTTCTTTGAAAAAAAATAAAAAGGGTGAGAAAATATGTACCTTTCCACTGATACCTCATAAGTCTGAATCGGTAGAGTTTTGGCACAGTTATTCAAGTTTTTCTTAAACCAATCTTTGATTAGGATCATTATTATGATTACGGTAAAAACGTTTTTTAATATTTTTATGCAGAATTTTTAAGCTTAACTTTTGTCAACTGAGGGGATTTTTTTCAAAAAATTCTATGCAACTAAAAATTTATTTTTTTTGAGGTATTTTCAAATCAGTCCAGCTCACGTAAATCTTAATATTTTTTTCGAAATATTTTGGTGGAAATCTTGAAATATAATAAATTTTGTACTCCCGGCGGGAAAACCGCAACTTTGTTCGGTGATTCAGTCTAATACAGTACATACATATGTATGTGTATATCTTTTGAGTTAATGGAAAAAAAATTTATTTTACACCTTTAGATTTTAGTACATTATTCTTTGAACATATCAGTTAAGTAACCACCGCGATAATCTACTAAAAGAAAGGGATGACATATCGAAAATAAAAGAAAAAAAATCATACAAATTGTAACGAAAAATATCGATATTCCATCGTAGTGACTTACGTAGTATTTGGGTCGATTTCAAGTCACTGCTTCAGATGTCCAAACCAGATGTACCCGAGACTTTATTTCAATATACATACATATTTTTATTTTATAATACATCTTACTTTATAATGTAAAAACGCTATCCAAATTTTTATTTTCCCGCCTTTTTTTTTTTGTTTTAACCGAAGCCCAGAAACCCAAAAGCTATAGCCGTAATTATTAATGGTATGGCATTTATGTCTGCATGAATACCGCAAAACTTATTAAACGATTTGCTTTTTTCCTGCAACATACATACATACATACGTACTCGTACATATGTACATATGTATGCATATGAATATTTAAATGTAATAATGTGGTAATACTTGTTGAATACAAATTAAAATTGTTGACCCAAATAAAAACGCGTTGTTGCCATTTTCTTGTTTTGTTTTTATCATTTCACTTATGCAGTTGAAGAGAGAGAGAGAGTGCACACTCTCTTGCAATGAATGGCCTTGCAGTGTGAGCGCTGCCTGCGATTACAGCTATTATAATTTTAGCATTAAATGTATAGTCGATTAAATAAACAATCTGTAGCATTGTCTCGGCGTAGAGGATCCAGAGAAGGAGACCAAAACACAATAAATTGCAAAAAACCGAATGCCTAAATGATTTTTAAAATTGTATTTCTTAGTAAAATTTTTATAACATTTTCCTTTGCTTCATTGAATTTAATAATAGTTTCTGACTTCATTGTAGTTTATTTTTGAATTTTTTAATTTAATTTAATTTTTTAAGTATGCCGAATGCCTAAATGATGTTTAAAATTGAATTTCTTAGTAAAATTTTTACAACATTTTCGTTTGCTTCATTGAATTTAATAATTTTTTCTTATTCCATTTTAGTTAATTTTTTAATTTTTTTTATTTCACTTAATTTTTTAAGTATTCTATAATACTTTTAAGATTATTTATCTATCAACTAACTAATCCAAGGTGCG